TGCTCTCTGTCTGTCTGTGTCTCTGTCTCTGTTTCTCTCTCTATCTCTCTCTCTCTCTCACTCTCTCTCTCTTTCTTTCTCTCTCTTTCTCTCTCTCTCTCTCTCTCTCTCTTTCTTTCTCTCTCTTTCTCTCTCTCTCTCTCTCTCTCTCTTTATTTCTCTCTCTTTCTCTCTCTCTCTCTCTCTCTCTCTCTCTCTCCCTCTGTCTCTCTTTCTCTCTCTGCTTCCCTTACACCTATATTGTAATGCCTAGATTTTGGTCCTGATTTTTCTTATAATCACGTATTTAGTACACATGAATTAGTTGGCCTACATTATGTTGCATCACTCATAAATGTGTCAGGACTAACAGTGCAATATGTAGAATCTGTTGTTCTGGATACAAATATTGCGACAGATGTAACATGTCCCCGTGGTTTTATGCACCCTGCATAATTTAGCAAAATTTGATGATTTTTATGGTATAATTTCTGATTATTTTCCATTATCATTTTTTTGTTAAAATTAACTGAATCGCATAACTTAACTTATATGGGCTCAGTTTGCATAATTTCATTTTTTTTTCTCATAAAACCGCAGGGACAGTGTAACACCCTAGCTATGTAAACATACACTGAGATCAGACTTCATTTTGTATTGCATGCCGAAAAAAATCAGCAACAATAACAACAAAAACAACAAAAACAATAACAGCAACAACAGCAATTCAAAAAGAGAACAGAACATGACTGTGAATGTCCACTTCGCAGTTTGACCTGGTCTGTGATCGCGCCTCTCTGGCCAAACTGAGTCAGACTCTGGTCATCTGTGGCCAAGGAATCGGGGCTGTGCTGACCACCATAGCGAGTGACCGTCTGGGAAGGAAGGTGAGTGACTTTGTCCGACCCCATCACTTTCTCACAAAAATAAGGTTAAAATATAATAATAACAATTGCATTTATATAGCGCGTATCCATGCTGAAGAGCTTGCTCTATGCGCTTTACAACTATTATTACCCAAGCAGACCCTCTGAGAACACTCAGAAACATTCTCAGCTTCCGCGGAAGCATACAATGCAAGCTGCGGATTTCACGCGCTCAAACACCAGATATTTCACTATCTATAGCTGGGTACCGATTTCCAGCAAGATGAAGTGAGGAAAATGTGTGCAAAGTGCCTTTCCCAAGGACACAACGTCGAGCCCCTGACGGGATTCGAACCTACGACCGTACGGTTGCGGGTCCGAGAGCCTGACCACTAGGCCACCCACGCCACCAAAGTATACGGTGTCGTTTTCTTATAAATGATAATAAACTGACTGTTTTTCTATAACAACGTTATACTGCCTTTACTTGCTTGGTTTGAATTAACCGTGAATTCTTGTTGT